GTAAGTATTGCACCATCGAATTTTATTGACAGTTTTTATAGGAGTAGTTTAATTATTTATAAAATCAATAAATATTAAAATAATGAATTATTTTAAATATATATTTATTCTGTTCAACATAAATATTAATTTTAAATTATTATTTCCTTCCAAAATAAATACTATTTTAATAATTTATAATAAATATAATATTATTAACAACGAGTTAACATGATATTTTTATTTAAAAAATAATTTATAAAACATAAAATTAATTCTAGTTCTCTGAAAACGTGCAAACTATTTCTTCAAAGTATCAATTTTTTAACTCTTAATTTCAACAAATATTAAAAACCTAGAAGCGGCTCACATTCAAACTAAAAGTACTTTTGTTTTTTTTTTTGGTATAAAATCTGGACCAAACAAGCACTTTATAGATTTGAATACATCGGAGTTCATATTCCAAGCAGCTGGCATACACTTACCACATGGATTTACACATGAAGTCAACAGCAACCTGATTCAACACAAGAAACCTAGAAAAACCGCACCTTCCCCATCTCTTGCCATGTTCTTCACATAGTAAGTTCAACAACCTCTTTTATGTTGACGCTTTCAATTAAGCACAATATTTCAGCATCTATTCGACATCAACAAATTCAATAATAACAAAATATTTCACATATGGAACAAATCAGAGTTGCTAAACAGAATAAAACTATGCCAGACAAGACACTGATTATATAATCAGTAGTATCTAGACTTCTCCAAATGGAAAGCGAGCATGAAGGGGAATGAATAATAGCGATCAAGCATGGAGAGGCACCAACTCTTGCCCCATTGCCATCTTTAGCTTATCCCTCCAGGCCGCACCATTTTCTCCATTTTTATGAAATCACAGCCTTCTTTTTTCTATGGCTGCGGGAATGTGTTCCAGCACTCTTTTCTCCACTTCTTAAGCTTTAGAGAGAAATTTTTTATTTTGGAACACCACCCTTTCCCTTTTTCTGGATATGAGGTTACAAGAATTGGCAATAATTCTTACAGTTCTCATTCAGGCAAATGAAAACTCTAATAAATTTAGGAACATCATCACATTACAGACAACATTGTGACAAAGTAAAAGCATATCCTGATTACCTAAAAGAAAAAAAATTCAATGAAGATTAAAACTCATTATTCAATTTAACCAAAGGTTCCGCAGATAACTAAAGTAGAATATAAAACTTTGAAGATGATCAATAGTTCATGTAAAGTTTGATAACTAACAGAAGAAATAAAAGAACAGCTAAGGACCTGAGTAGTATTATAACAATAGGCTAGCTCATAATCTCATTTCTTTTTCCCGCCCTTGGCAGCATCACTAGCCTTGGTCTGCAAATAAAAGCAATACACACAGTTGGAAGGTGGAAGATAACCAAACAACCACCAAAAAAATATCTAATAATGAGAAAAAGGTTGCAAAATGAAGCTTCTTTACCTTCTTTACACCTCGGATTTTCTTGGCCCTGTTCTTCCTTTCCTTTAACTGCTTTCTTGACTTTTCCACCTTGGTATCCAATCCATTCTGCCAACAACCAAATAATAATTCACTATAAACAAAAAAATGCATGAACAGCAACATGATCCACAAAGAGAGAGACAAAGAGACAGATAAGACGATAAATATTCATAAGTTTATATTTAGAAACTATCCTTGTAATTCATCAACGGAATAGTCCATGGAGAGAGAAAATCAATAATACCAATGTTAGTGGTTATAAAAATTCTTATATATTAACCCAACCAAACCCAACTAAACCACCTTCAGCCAGCAGACTAAGCAAGTTCAGTCTTCTCCATTTTTTTTGGGGCAGCCATGCAGCAAAGGAATTAAAATATCTTGTTCAAGCAATTATTAGGAAGTAGTTAAATCATACAAATTATCGCACAAAAACCATCAACAATTTTGCATTTCTTCACGGACGAGCACTTAACCCACGATCTGCAGGCAGTTTACTTGCTTCTGTAACAGTGTATCATGGAATGCATCTAAACATTTACTAATCATATCCGGCAACCTCTTACACAGATGAGATCTGCCTTACTTTACTCGAATACTTTCACATTTGGAAAAGACTTGTTTAATTGTACAGAAGAGACATCTGGGTTGATGTTTGATCTCACTAAAATTAAAGGACTGGATGCAACAAAAAATCCAGTACTATGCTTGGTGATTAAAAAAAGAGAGGTTAGAGCAGTACAAAAAGATTGAATCACACAACAAACATGTTCCTCCAGAATTATGGGATTATCAATTCCATGAGAAAAGCACAAAGTCAGCTGTCTGAAATATCAAAAACACCCCTCATTGCTTCTATACTTTTTACTCTTTCTTGTCATTATGCAGAATATATCATCCTTTCATCTTCTAATTATATTTTGCTTTACCTTGACCAATTATTAAATTTAAGTTATTTCAATTGAATTTTCAATTATTAATAATTTAAAATATATTAATTGAATTTATTGCATTTATATGTTTTTGTGAAAATAGTGATTAACATATAGTTTATAAGCAACTATATATTGGTATATTCTTCCCTATCAACTTGAAAAAAGAAAAAAGTATAACCATCCAACACCAAATGAATATCCATGTAATTTGACATATCTTGTTCTGTCCAAATCCATTTATGCCAAATATATCATTTTACCTTGTTTAGTTCTGTTTATATCCAATCCTGTCACGTCCTAGTCTAATTTGCACCAAACATCACGGAAAATTATAAATTTGCAACCAACACTAACCTAGTTTTATGAATTTTTCCAACCATATGCCTTTGAATTATCAGACAAAGATCCCAAGAGAAAAGAACTGGAAGTAATGACTGTCAGAATGGGCAAAGGACCTCATATAACCAGCATAAAGAAGATTAATTGCATAATCTTCAATGTACCCTGAAATGATTATACCAACCACACAACTCTCGATAGAGAGCAGTTCTATTTATATTGAGATTGATTCAACTGATTACATAGAAAAACATGGTTCCATTATCACCACGATCCTATTTCTAAGGACCAACTGGTGCATTATCTTACTCCACTTACATAACAGTTATTTGACTAATTCTAACATACCCCATATCACTAGAGACTTTAAATTGAAGCATTTACACAGGAAAAATACTGATGCTGCCAAAACGATTGAACAGCATTACTGTTATATTTGGTTCAATTCTCATTTCATTCCTCCTCAGTTCGCACCATTAATTTCCTGACCCTCAACTTAAATTTCTAGACATGAAATCTAGTTCCTACTTTAATTTATTGAAACTGCATTTTCAAGTCCCAAAAATTCAAGGTGGGAATAGGGGTTGGTTGGAGGTGGAGGCAAGATCATACATGTGCATCATGCTCTAATTCTACATGTAAGGACTAATATAAAAATCAGAGGTAGAAATTAAGGAAGAATGAAACGA